GTTTACCCTCCCCTCCCCCCTCAAGCAAATATGAAAAAAAGGAACGTTAAACGAATCTTTAAATTCAAACGGCCTAAGCATCTAATTATATTAAAAAAAGTCTGGACCTTTACTGCAGATGAACTGCTACATGTCAAGTTCGTAATATTAAAGACTCTTAGTTTATAATATTTAAAACACTTTTAACCTAAAATATTCATATAAAATATTCAAAAATGTCCAAACTATAATAGAATTAGAATTTCTTTTAAGAAAATTGCTACAAATCATAATTAAGCCACTATCGAAAAATTTGCTACATTCGAGATGCATGGATGCATTCTATTTGTTAAAGCAATTATATTTAAAATACTTTGCATATGTATATTAAATTTTGATTATATTTCGTGAACACACACGTCTGAAACATATGTTTATCAAATCGTTAGAATTGTTTTTTTTTAAAATTATATTGACTACAAAATGGCCTATATTGTTTTCTAATTTAAAAATAAAATATGATAATTAATAATTGAAATAAAAATGATGCGAAACCTGCATAGATTTGAATATACGCATAAGTTTAAATGCGTCGTAATAATTTCTTTATTACTCGTAAATTTATACAAATATCTGTTAAAACACCGTATCATTTTCAAATTGAAAAATGGAATGCGTCAATTAAAAATTGACATGAATTGAGAAATGACGCATAAAATATGTAGCCCGATTGTTTCATTATATAACGGTTCGTTTGTAGTGTTTATTCTATACCATTTAGCCGTCATATGATGACGGGCTCTAATAATAGTTTTGGTAAATTTATTGATTTCTTTTGAACATTTCATAATTTATACTAAAATGGTAATGATGGATGAATCATATGAATGCTACTCAAGACGCGTAAAACGCGACAGTGGGTACTGTCACCATCGTATGGGAGAGCTTCCATCAGTCATGCCGAGTTTAACTCCGATAGTTGTAAGAGAATATGTGGGAGCTTGATGAAAAATAAGGGAACTCGTATTTCATGGTTATTAGGCATTTATTACCGAAAAGAATGTATTATTTATGTATTCTTTATTTAGGGACGATTTCAGAGAGCATATATTATAGTGAACTAGATGGTAAACTAAGGGCTTTATTTATGGACGATTCAGAGAGCATATATTTGATACATTTGATAGTGAGAACAACCCTTATAACATTCCATTTCTTATGATGTCTACGCTAAGATTATAATATCTACATTACAAATTCTGACTCACACATGCTTTCCCATTCTATCAAGTTTATGCAAGCGCGTATACGCTCAAAATATCGCGTAAAGCGTCTAGGGGAAATTCACATGGGTTAAGCCACTAAGAACATCATAATGCCTAATACTATAAAGGTAGGATTAACACGGCTATGGCGATACAATTATGAAAGGTATGTGATAACTTAATGAATTAGACAAATACGGAAGTGAGAGACATGGAGAAAAATTATTCGGTACAATATGGATTTTTGTATTCATATGCTCTGCTAAATTTTTGGTGCGACAGCTAATCCGTTCGTCAAAACTCCTTAAATGCGCTCCTTATTTAAAATACATAAGGCTACTAAATATTACACAAAATGCGATGCTGAATAATGTGGAATTTGACATACTGTAGACATTCATATTACACGAATAAAATCAAAGATGTTTTATTTCAAAATGATTTTCCGTACCACACTGCCTTTAGTACTATTTAATATCCCTTCAATAATATCCGGATACATTACAAAAAAACTGTATAAGATCCGGATATTAAGATTTAATAGATTTAATTGAAAATTATTGAAGCATAATACAACTGTGTCACAGTACCCCCAGCTTGTGTACCCACTCTTTGTTAAGTACCCATAAGTATATTGCCATGCATAATACCCTTTTTTTATTTGATAAGATCCGGGTACTAAAGGCAGTGCGGTACGGTAATTTATAAAGTATCGATGAATAAGGTTATGCATAATTTTTTGTTAAAATGTGAGTTTAAGTTTAATTAAAATTAAATTAATTAATGCAAGTAAAAATTTGATCAGAGTTTTTACCATGATAAGAAGAAATTACTACAGAAAATTAAGCGCAATTTCGGTGAGAGTATATATATAACGTAAAATAATATTAACATTGTTAACAGTTTTGATCAATTAAAATGTCACATTACACAGATTATAAATCCGAATAATGTCATTTTGACATTGCCCATCTTTAGTGATATTAAAAATTGTTCGATCTTGATCTAATCTATAACTATATAAAGTTAAATAAAACCAAGTGAAGAACTTAAATCGCTTTTATCTCAGCGCGCGAAACCAATTGTCAAGTTTACTAATTCCATAAACCCCAAAATTATTGAGAACCAAAAAAAATAATATAGCATCGGCCGTGATTTCGTTTATGTTCTATGTCCATCTGGAACCTGAACCAAAAAGAATTGAGCCTTTTTTCCAGATCAAGGAACTTGTCATAAAGAATAGAGTAACTAACACCTTTAGTCCAATTCTTGATAAAAACAGTTCTGGTTTTCATTGCATCGTTAGGCATCCAAATATTACGTTTAACTATAATATCTCTAGATTCACTATCGTTTAATAAGAACAAATATGACTTCATTATTTCTAAACCGACAGTCTGAATGCCATACAATCGAGCGAGTCGATTATATTGATAAACCAAAATGAATTGTTCTGTTGGCAAATCATAAGATAAAATTTTGACAGTTTGTCCTTTAATTATGAGGTGTTGATTAAAGTGTTTTGTGGATTCAATTTCCAGTCCCAACTTGCGTATTCGACTTAATGATAAATTAAATTTATATTTAATTATAGGAAAGTGTCTTTTATTTTTTCGTTCCCAAATATTACGTTTACATGGAAACGCCGAATAAACTATCTCCTCAAAACATATATCTTGATCAATATTTACACCATTGATCATTAATAAATTGCAAAAAATATAGTTTGGATAGTGGTAATTTATATTGCCTAATGGATTGGCATTTGACTCTTCAGTTGAATTATAATACGCAATGAAATCAGAAGTTTTTGAATTATTTGGATTTTTTAAAATAAAATCTATCATCGCCATCATATGTATAACATAGCTGTATGCAGATTTTGTTGTTGTAATATGTATGCTCTTGGTAGTGAAACAAATATTTTTAAGCCAATCCATAAGTTTTATTCTGTCCACTTTAAATTTTACTTCAGGATTAATGTTTTCCAATTCGAAGAGTTTGCCTAAGAATTTCTCAGACACTTCTTCAGTTAGTTCTGGCATAATAAGATTCATGCATTCTAATTTGGTGGGAGGTGTATCTTCATTAGAATATATCATTTGTATCAGCTTTTCTAAGGAATTATTATAATCTTCAGTGTCACTATAGCCAGTTTCAATGTTATCGACAACGTTAGAGATTGAATTCGTGGTAGGTTTAATAATTTCAATTTTGTCATCTTCCAAGTCAGTTACGACCTTCTTGTCGCTATTGTTAGTTTCAGTGTTATTTTCAACATTTAATTCAGTGATACTTATGGAAACTGAACTTGCAACGGGTTCAACAACTTCAACCTTCAAGTCACTACAACTATTGCTAGCGTTTAATTCAGAGTTGGCAGTAACATCTAAAGAAACCGAATTTGCATCCATTTCTGTTTCAATATATGAGATATGATCGATAAGATGAACTTAATGTTCTGAATGGCCGAAATGAATTGATTCTGGATATTTATTACATTTTTAGAATTTATTGCTAGTATTGTTTTATGATTTACAGTATTTTTTTTAATTACTTTTCCAATGATCATCAATATTACAGTTTTATTATACCGCTAAAATAAGAAATATAACAGGAAGTCTTGGCAAGTTGTTAACGTTAATTGATGACAAATCAATTAAGTCTTAATCATAAAAAGTATAAATTCTTGGTTTCATCATGATAGTGATTATTGATGGTCAAAAAAGCGCTGCAAAGAACTTGCTTCTTTTTGGTCTATCTCTTACGATAAAACCTCTATCAATTCTATAGATTTCTGAAAGTGGAATACACGTTTCTTTTTTAATGTCACAGAATTTTGTATTAACGTACAATGACATGTACAAAATATCCATAAAATGGTAACTTTCCGTAAATCAAATTCGCTGTTTATCGATATGTTGCTCAATCATTGCATTAATAGTTTGTCCAGACGTTGCATTACTCAAAGTTTATAACAATTTGTTAAGATTCATAGCGTCTCACCTTTTTTTGTTTTTGTTTTTTTTTTTTGTTTTACTTATCGAAATGACGATTCAGTTTATCTTTTAATTACAAATTTGGGGTCTTTGCCTTGAAAATCACCCGGGTATCTGTTCGTGTTTATATGTTAATCATCTTTTATCTTTATTTATTCAATAGTTTATCGAACAACTATTATATAAAGAACGGTAAAAGGTGATTAACATATAAACATGAACCGGTACTCAAGTATATACAAAAGTAATTTTGACCATATTATCATATAGTAAAAAATCATTAGTGCATTACGTATCACCCTCATGATTTCACGAGCATTGCATATCATTCTAATATATATAGAAGTCAATTTTGAAATTAATACTGTATCCCTTAAACCGTAAGCTGATCCAGGCAAATTTGCCTGCAAAAATATATTCAATAATTGCGCATATTTACCCCCGTTAAAGTCATGTATTTAAATGATCTAATTAAGTTATAGATGTGCCGTTTAGAATTTGTCGGATATCGGGATTTTAGACCGGTGGAATTTCAATAAATTGGCACACCCAGGGCATCTCGAATGAAGTATAAACTTGGCTTTTGCGGGGCTATTTCACAAAACTAAAGAAAAAATAAAAGCAAGAAGTCATTCAAAATGTCAAAAGTAGTATTAGCTAAAAGCTCTACGCAAGTAGTATGCCCAGTATTAAGATTAATGAGGCTGACATAGTGATTAGTGATTTACGTAAGTTTATTTTAGCAAAAACAACTTTGATCAAAAATTTGCAGGCGAATTTGTCTGCAAACAGTTTAAGGAATTAAAAAACTCCATACGTACTCTACACATACTGTACGTACGTACCTGTTTTTACTTATCAGTAAGGTGAGACCAACTATATTTGGTGGTTTACATTACATCCCTTTTTCAAAAAGGGAAGGGGGAGAAATGGAACGTATGCATAGTAAATTTTTTTAATCGGAAATTCTCGGCCTGACCTTGCTCGTCTATTATGTTTGTTCATTTTCTCTTCGGAATTTTTCGGATCCTTACAATTTCTAGTTTTAATTCCGCCCGGCATTAGCTCGCCGGTCAAAATCATATATGTATATCCCAAAAATTTTTTACTAAAAGAGAGAGGGATAATGTAAACCAAATCAAAATTGGTCTGCCCTAAAATATATTTTACAGTTGAATGAAGTCGATGCTAGAAAATGAAGCCAAGCAAATTTTCTGTTAGATTACAGTACCTTGCATAAATTATTTGTCAATTGCATAACATATTCGATATAAAAAAACTTTCGCCTATTACGCATTAGATAATCTGCTGCTCTTCACGTTCTTTCAGGAGTACATTTGCTTTTCACTTCTCTGATATATGTAATATTTATCATTTGGCAGCTACTATTATCGTACTAACAGAATAACTCGAGTTATTTTGATGATGATTGCATCATCACATAACTTCGTCGGTTGATAATGACGTAATCATCATCATCAAATAACTTCATTATTTGATAACGACGCAATCATCATCAAAATAACTAGTCATTCTGTCGGTTCGATATCTGGATAATACCGTTATTGAATGCTACGCAGTCAATAAATTGTTTATCTGCAGCGAATTTAATATGGCATTCCTGGGCCCATTCGGGGCCCAGAGGCTGACGTATTAAATTTCACAGCCAGATAATGGTTATTTTTCAAATAACTCCCATTATTGACTACTCAATAACTCTATATTATTGCTTTTTTGTTTTTCGTGTTAACCTAGGAGTGTATAAAGAATATTATTGATCAACGTTTTAAAATAGGCTATTCAGGTTTATAACTATTTAGCATTAATTTTATTTATTCGCGTTATGTTAAGTAAATATAAAGAAATTTTATATTTAAATAGTCTATTCAAGTTCACATTTACTATTTAATTTTATTTTATTCGCATTAGTTAATAACAGTAAAGGATTAATGTATAAAAAACTTCATTAAACTAGGTGTTTAAGCTATTCAAGTTCATGAATATTTATATTTAAAATTTTTTTTTTGCTTTATTTAGTGCGTTGCTATAAATAAACTTTAGCAAAGACAAGATATTTTGAATTCACAACTATTTATTATTAATTTATTTTGTTCGCCTATTTATTATTCAATTTATTTTATTCACGTTAACTTAGGTGAGCATTAAGAAAATGTATTAATTTAAGAGACCTGCTAATGCCACCCTATTTTTGCTAATGCACCCCAAATAGTTTAGCTAGCCTTTATTTCTAACCCTAACTTTAAACTAAGTTAGATTTAGGGTTAGAGTTAGTCTAATATTATAATTTAATTAATTATTTTTATTATACAAATCGTACAACTAAAATTTAGTATAGTAATTAGACTATATAGGGGTGGCATTAGCAGATCTCTAATTTAAGTGCTTAAAGAAACGATTCAAGTTTATGAATATTTATTATTTAATTTTGCTTTAATCGCTTTAATTTAGCGTGTGACTATAAAGAAAACTTTCAATTTGTGTTTAAAATAAGGTATTCGAGTTCGTGACTATTTACTATTTAATTTTGTTCACGGTAAATTAGTTGTGTATGATGAAAATTTTTTGATCTAAGTATTTAAAATATACTATACAAGTTCATGAATACTATCTACTTTATTTTGTTCTATTTAATATATTTATTTGTAGTGATGAGACTAGTGAAGCTTAAAATTAAAATGTCATATGCGTGATCTATCGAAAAAATTTAATTCTTAATAAATATTAAATGTGACAGTTTCATGTTAATTTAGGCGAGTATAATATAAATTTATTAATTTAATTGTTTAAAAGAAGCAATCCAAGATTATAAATATTTATTGTTTGTTTTGCTTTAATTTATTACATAGATACAAAAAATTATCAATCTATATTTACTATTTATTTTGTTCTCATCATGTATACAGACCAATTTATTAATCTATGTGTTTAATAAGTTATTAAAGATTCATAACTATTTACTATTTATTTTGTTCTCGTTAACTTAGGTAGATAAAAAAAACTTATTAATTTAAATATTAATAGAAGAGATTCAAGTTATGAATATTTATTATTTAATTTCATTTTGTTTATTTTATTTAATGCGCGACTAATAACATCTAGGTTCATAATGATTCACTATTTAATTTTATTTTTTCGTGTTAATTGGGTAAGTATGGTGAAAATTCTGACGGAGAAACAACAGGTTGCAAGCACGTAACGAGTAAATTTCCACGAAAAATATATCCTGTGCCGAAATTTATCTGAATCATGCAAAAACCTAATTTTAATTTTCGTCAGTAAAAGCACCATATAGCTGGTGTTCTCGCTGCTTTCATATTTTCCAGTAACCGAATCAATAAGTTATCAAGTCAGAACTGACGTTAATGTCAAACTCATCAATTCGGTTATTTTTTAAATGTCAGAATTTATAGAAACAGCTGTAACGCAGATCCAACAATTTCATATGAGTCTGTCAGATTAAAACTTGAAAAGTCACGGGTGACAAATAATAAATCAGTTACTGCATAATAAATGTCGCAAGAATTTGCGTGTTGTTCTATGAAAAAATAATGTCGTATGTGAATGACTAAAAATGTCGTAATTAAAGGATTTATAAGCATTGAATTTGAATTAGAGAAGCCTCTATCTTTCGGTTTCGCTATTGCCCGCCTTGCATTATTAGGCTGCCTATCCCTCCCACCCAGATATAACAGATTGAACTAACGCTTAAAAAGCGTAGTTGAGAAGCCATGAGCCATCATGTATGAGGAATAAACAATGATCGTGGCTCGTAGGTTATAATAACGCAAAAACCACTTGATCAGTTATATAGCAGCTTTTAAAGGCAGCTTAAGGTAAACACAACAGTATATGGACAACGATGGTGCTGTTAACATGTAAGGAATATCGTGGCTCTGAGGCTAAGTAGCACAAGGCATGAGAACTCGAAATTTATCTTAAGTACCGATGCTCTTTCATTGCTATTATCGAAAGTCTAACTCTGCTCTTCACAGCTACAGGAGACGACCACTGATTAGATTATAACCTAAGTAAACAGAGGATAATTGAAATTGCACTTCAATGAGAAATATGCTATATATAGTACTAGTTTGTTAGGCGAAACTTGAGAGTTTCGCCACTGACGAAACGCAAAACTAGTTTCGACTTTCACCAAAAAAATTTAAAATGACGAAATGGCGATGAAACTGGTGAAAGTTACGAAACTGGCGAAACTAGGTGAAACTGCTTAAAGGTGACGAAATTAAAAAGATAACAAAACTAATTAAAGATGATAAAATTAATAAAAGAGAGGCAATAATAAAAAGGTAATTAAAGAAAATTAAAATTCTTTTATACAATTATCAATCTGTATATACGTATACTTAATATTATATACAAGCCACTCTAATTATAGT